GAGAGAAGAGGAGGGGAGGGGAGAGGAGAGGAGAGGAGAGGAGAGGGGAAGAGAGGAGAGGGGAAGAGAAGAGAGGAGGCTGTGCAGTGGCTCAGAGGGAGAGTGAAGTGTGATTCATGCAGGCAGTTGATGCTGAGGCTAAAATTAGACTCTGCTCCCTTTTGCTGTTTGGGGTTTGGTGAGGTAAAGGAGGGGGAGGAGGAGGAGGAGACCTGTGTTAACAGAGTCAATGGAGCCTCCGTTGCCCAATATGAAAACACTGTGATCATTAAATGTAAGGTGTGGTACATTATATAAAGATGAAATGATGTGGTGAAATGACCACCGTGTCTCACCTCTTTGAGGGTGATCTTGGCTGTGTAGACAATGTGGCAGCCCCGTCTCTTGTACTGAGGGTGCTCCTCGTCCCTGAGGATGAAGGTGATGTCGGCCGGGGTGTTGTTGGGTGTCTCGTCTCCCTCTCTGGGGAAGGTGATCTTGGTCCCGGCCTTCCAGCCCTTCTTCACCACCACATTCAACACCTTGTCTTCGGATCGCACCGTGCGGCCGTCAGGGTTGAGTCGACTGCGGGTGATCTTGACGTGCTTGGTGCAGCCCTGCATCACGTCGTCCAGGCTCACCGGCAGGTCGTGCACCACGGCATCGCCCTGCAGACGCCGCTGACCTCTTCGCAGGCCGCTCTCGTTGCTGGCGAAGCCTCCCAGGTGGCTGAACGGGAACTGTCTGAAAGGGTTGAAAAGATCTTCCTCGCTGTCAAAGTCGCTGCCGAAGAAGATGTCAAAGTGGTCGGAGCCGTGGAAGGAGGAGAAGTTGGGATGGGAATCGCCGTGGGAATTGTTGCGGAAAACGTTGGCCTGACCTGCCAGTGTTATTCCACTCTTAAGGCCTGCAAACACAAGAAAATCAGAAGGTTGTGTTATTGCTGCTCCCAACCGCCAATAATAAACCGTTTGAATAATTCAGCAGCTCCAAAGTGGAGAAACACATAACAGCTGACGTGTTGATGGTGAGGTTTATTGGTTATGACAACGTACGTCATGATGACGATGTAAGAAAATTGTTAATTCAACAGCCAGTTCTAATCAGCCAGATGGCTGGAGAAGGTAAATGATATGACTGACGTCAAACGTCAGAGCTCCATCGGTCTCACCTTCTTCTCCAAACTGGTCATATATGCTTCTCTTCTTTGGATCGGCCAGGATCTCGTAAGCCTCTGCGATCTCTTTGAACCTGTCCTCGGCGTCGGCATCGCTGTTCTTGTCCGGGTGGAACTTGAGAGCCATCTTCCTGTAGGCCTTCCTGATCTCATCTTCATTGGAGTCAGGGGTGACGCCCAGGACTTTGTAGAAATCTTTGCCTGTTGGTTTTATGGAAAGGCAGGGAGTGTCCTGCTCAGACCTGGGGCTTTCCTGTGGATAAAAAGAACAGTAACATTGGTGACTAAACCAAAAAAAAATTAATAAAATCATTGACAAAAAAAAAAAAAAAATCAGTCAAAATAGTTCAGTCCTTTACATACAGATGCATAATGCATATTGGAAACCGTCAGCGATTCTATCAGAAGGCAAGTCAAAAATGTAAATTTCTTCTGCAGCACTGACCGGTCGATCTCCCTCGGCCACCAGCTGCTCTGCAGCGTCTAGAATTATGCAGTGAAATTTAGCTCAGTGCAAAATTCTTAGAAAAAAAACTCCATCTATTTCTGCTGCTGCTGTACAACAACTACATCATCAGTTTTACAGGTTCATATAAAACATGCAGGACGGGGAGGGAGGAGGGTTGAGTCGCATGAGAGGCGCAAGGCTTCCCCCTAACGACAGAGTCTGACTGCAGCGATTGGCCGATTCGGAAGCAGCGACTTTTGGAATTTGAATGAACATAAGGCAGAGAGAGAGAGAGAGAGAGAGAGCGGATGTCCCGGCGTCTTTGGTTCATTACAGAGTTCTTGTATGAATAACGTCAAGTCACAGAGTAAAAACACCGACGACGAACGGAATAAACTACTTACCGTTGACGAAGACGTGGAGCCTGAGCTGTCGCCTCTGTGCATGACTCGCACTTTGCATTTGACGTTGACGTTTTTGCTCTTCACACCAAACTGTGTCCAGATCAGAACCATGACGACGATAGTGTGTTTTGTTGGGTTTTGTCAACGGAGCCGCAGTTGAGACTAAGTGTCGCTGTCCAGTCGGGCTGGTGCTGAAATGTCTTTCTCTCAGTTCAGTTCAGTTCAGTTCAGTTCCGCTCTGCTCTGCTCTCTTCAGCTGTCTGATGAACAGGCGCCGCTGCGGCTCCTTTTTACTTTACACTCTGCCACCCACGCACCGCGGACGAGCTTCCCCAGGCTCCGCCCAGTTCCTCACGCACCGCAGGGGATGCCGGTGTCCTCACGCAGCTCGGCGCAAAGCCATTGGTGCTCGGCCGATCATCACGCGGATGTTGCAGCCCACCTCTCCATCTGTAGACTTGTTTCCGGAGTTCTTTCAGACTGAGAGCCAAGCAGACAGTCACGACTCAGTACAGAGTTTTTTTTTTCTTTTCTTCCTTCCCGAGCACAGAGACAGAATAGAACAGAGCAGACCAGAACAGAACCAGACTGAGAAAATAACCCTGCTGTTCACCCAGACTGACTGAGTGATGGAGCCTTTGTCCCCGTCTGACTGTGAGCGAAACAACAACTTGCCTCCTGTTGGGTTTTATTTGAGGTTAGATAGATGTACAGTAGTTAAGTTTGTATGAAACACGTTTATACATTTTTTAAAAAAAAGACTAATACTTAACTGAGTATTAGTATACTAGTATTTATTCCTGAGAACTCACCAGCATTATATTTAGTAACCAGTTAAAACTAAATGTATTACCCCTCTTACATTTACCAAAAAACAAGAATGAGGCAGAGCTGTAATGAACACAAACTGAAGTTGTTCTGTTGTGTTTATAGCATCAGACTGGAGGTATTTCCATTGCACTGATACTGAATCCTGAGCTGGAGCTGGACGACTGTTTGCTAGTGTCATGTATGGATTTTATATTTCTACTTTTCCTCTTAAAAATATAGATGAATTTTAAATGTGTCATTACTTTTTCAATGCAAAAATGTGTCAATGCTCTGATTTAGATTTTGAAAAGGTTGACACATTCAACTCAAAATTCAATACATGCTTAAATATGTAAATGATTTATTTACATACAGTCCAAATGACTGAGAAAACATTTTCAGTGATTCACTGCAAGACTTGAATCACTGACACCTCCTGGTTTATATACTGAGGTTGTACGTCCTGGTAATTGAATTTCCACTGGAAATGTCACAGCTGTTTATAAAATCAGCATTAGATTATGCAGGTGTTAATGCAAATGCCTTCGCCCCCGTAGTCCCACAGAACGACGCGTCACAAGTCAACACAGGCTGCCAGTTCAAACCGAAGCAAAAGAGAAAAATAATGGAAAGCAGTTAACGGCTGTGAAGGTGGAGCGGCGGCGACTTATGTAACCAAATGTGCCGGAGAAATTCAGCCGATGTGTCTGATGGTCTTTTGCCTGTGAAAACTGACACCTCGTAGTTGTGTTGATGCTCTGTCAGATACTCGTCCTTCTTTTTTTACATAAGAGATTCTTTTCTGGCAGTGTTGAAGATAAACACCGACTCGAGCCACTCACCGTGTTCAGACCGTTGTGTTTTCTAACATGATGAGGAAGAATGACGAGGCTGAAAACAGCAACATTCTGATTGGTCGTTTTAATATCATGACTAGAACATTAGTAATGTTTTATATCACTGTCATGGATAGAATGGTGAATGATTATTTTTCTATTTGAGGCCGTCCTACATACTACAGGATTATGACACAGATCTGGCTGTAGAGGCGCCACAGCAGACATAGATATGGAAATGAGTGTCACAGCGACTGTACATACATGGCAGTGCTTCCTCTTGACGATGCCGCACGCAGCCAATGAGCGGTGGAGTTTCCTGGGGATTCTTCTCCATCTTACAGGAACTGGAAGACAAATTTGGTGCGGACATGAAGAGGCAGGAGCGTCATGCTCCACATAGAGGCTGTTATAACATGCTATTCGCAGACTGAACGGAGCAGAGTGAATCAGTACAGCCTCTTCAGCAGCCTCTGCCCACAGGAACTGGATTACAGCACATTCAGCCTGGTTTTTTTTTCTTTCTTTTTCAGACAGCGTTGCTCTTTTGAGAGACACACACAATAAAGCTTGTCAGTCTTGGACTGAACATGGTAATTATAGGAACAATATGTACAGAAAGTGTCACCGTGGGATGTGAGATTATGAACAGCTCAGATCCAGCCTCCTGGTGTTTGTGGCCACGGCTTTAATGATGGCTGCTGTGAGGAAAAGGACAAGTTGTCCTGAGATATTTCATTCCACAAATCTTCTAGAATGCACTGTGTATGTTTTTGATGGAATCTGGGTCAGTGAAACAAAGACAATTTGTTTATGAGCATGAAAAAAATCAGTGGCACTCAGATCAAATGACACTGTTTTCAAGTGAAATGCACCATATGTGTAAAAGCTCTGCTCACTTTCTGGCTGAGTTTACTTTGTGGAAAGTCTGACAGCTCTGCTCACTTTCTGGCTGAGTTTAGTTTGTGGAAAGTCTGACATACATCTCTATCTATCCATCCATCCGTCCGTCCGTCCGTCCGTCCGGCCCACCATCCC